ACGTACGTACGTACGTACGACCGATCCGTACGACACACACACACACACACACACACACACACACACACACACACACACACACACACACACACACACACACACACACACACACACACACACACACACACACACTACGTACGTACGACGACGACGACGACGACGACGACGACACACACACACACACACACACACACACACACACACACACACTACTACGTACTACGTACGTACGTACGTACGTACGTACGTACGTACGTACGTACGTACGTACGTTACGTTACGTACGTACGACGTACGACGACGTACGTACGTACGACACACACACACACACACACACACACACACACACACACACACACACACACACACACACACACGTACGTACGTACGACGACGACGTACGACGACGTACGACGTACACACACACACACACACACACACACACACACACACACACACACACACACACACTCACACTGCAATGTTACAGCTTCAAGTTAAAATGACTGAATGTTTTTTCTAAGATGTTTCTTTTCATGGCTCCAAGGATTTTTCTCAAGCCCTTGTTTTTGAAATGTGCTTTTGAAACGTCCCTTGCATTGGGACACTGGAAAAGACTATCTTTAGACTTTGCTTTTACTGCCGTAACTGGAAAGTGGGAAAAATAATGAATAAATGCAGCTTTAAGAAGTTAAAATAGGTCTATCTGTGCCCGCGTTCGATCCTTAGTAACTGAATCTTGGCTATTTTGAGTTGCACCGTATTGAAGTGGCATACAAATAAATGTTATCATTAAGATTATTACATTAAATGTGTGGTAGAGAAACCCCCTTTGCAGCCCTTTCATACCATTTACATGCACCTATAGAACACACTACAGGAAATAGAAAACCCCAAAAGCATTATAGGGCCTCTTAAATATTGTTCTGCTCTTTTTAAAATTGATATTTTGGAATATCCTTTAAATATGTCCTTCCTAAACGTCTGAACGAAAATGTTCTCTTGATGGCAGCACTGTGTGTTTGCGACTCGTAGAGCATTACCCTCGATATCATCTTCATATGATATTTGCATTTTTATTGAAGGCACTGCACGTACAGATCATCATCCACTAACACATCTGCACTGATGGCATTTCAGCGGTGAAATTAGTCACAGTTTACATTTTGTTTTCTTCAGTCAAACAGAGTATCAGTGAGATAAAACAGAAACACATAATCACATGGATGTTATGGATCATAAAGACATTATAATTTACATAATTCATTCACAGGAAAGTCAACACGACCAAGCTTGTGTTGAACATTTTGAATTATTTGGGAATTAAGTTAAAGTGCAAATCGCCTGTTGATGGTGTGTGTGTGTGTGTGTGTGTTTGTTTTCACCCCTTTGTGGGGAATACAACAGGGGATTTCCTTATGGGGACAGCAAGACAACTTTTCATTTTAGGGATAAGATTTGTTTTTTAAGTTCATGGTCTTTATTAGGACTAGTTAAGGTCAGATATAAGAAAAAGCACTGGGGTTAGGCAGTTAAAAAGTTATCATTTTGGCAGTGGTCCCCAGATTGTATGTGTGTGTGGCAGGTGAATTAGTGGGCCAGCAGGGAAAGGGCTAAATGAAGATGCTTTGAAATAAAAGCAATGAAAAGCTTGTGGAAAATCTGTGAAATATTAGAAAATATAAGAACTATAGTTTAAATAAAGTTATGTATTTATATTTAGCACCCCCTACAGTTTTGGAGGGTAATTACCCTTTAATCACTGTTGAAAATATGGACAGTTGTTACTTAACACTTTTCATTGTTATAATTACATTACTGATGTTCAATAATAAGCAAGTCTACAACTTTGCAAACAACATGAGACAGCAATGCAGCTAAAATTGCTAAAACAGTTCGGGCAGCCCAGCTATCTGAGCTAAAAGCTAACTAGCTAACGGTGGTTTATCTTAAAGGTAGTTAGTGTTACTTCAGCAACAAGAAAAGCTTTACGTTCATCCGAAAACTCTGGCAATCACAAAGAGTCGAGGCAGAACAGGCAGAGGAAATCAGATGGATAACCAGAAAAAGAAATTCCCTGTAAAGTATGATCTAGTTTTACCAAGTTAATTTACAGCAGTTACAAAATGGTAAGACATGCTAACGTAAGATACATTATGCAAGAACAGGCATTCTTGGTGCACAATACCATGACATAACAATTTATTTTAGGTAAAGTAGTTACATAATGTTCATTGTGGATGTTTTAAAGATTGAAAAAAAGACTCCAAAACATGTGAAAATAACCTTCAGAAAAAAAAGTATTTTACAGTCAAATTAATAAATTACGTAGAAAATGAAAGCAAACATGTGTCAGTGCATCTTATCTTGGGTTTACGGTTGGTAAAACAACTTATTCCACTTTATTTCTTTGTGTGTGTGTGTGTGTGTGTGTGTGTGTGTGTGTGTGTGTGTGTGTGTGTGTGTGTGTGTGTGTGTTCTATCGTGCTGTACTTTGTGTTCCTGCAGACAGACAGGCAGGTGTGTAGATCTTCACTGTCTCATCCCAGGAACAGTCCACCACCTGCAGAAAACACAACACACACCTTTAGAGCCATATGGTACCTACCTACAGAATATGGTACTACCTGAGGACACTAACCGAATACTGTTTATAAAAAGCATAGCTGTAGACTACTTTAAATACAAAACAATTTTTTGGGTTTTGATGTTTGTCACACTTGAGATTTATCATGCCTTTGAAATTCAGATAGACTGCACATACATTAGAATTGGCATGTCTTCAATGTTCTGCCTTGTCTGCATGGTTATAATAGCTTTTTCAATAGTTTCAATTGAGATTTGTTTTCACATAATTTCTCTTTCTGTGTTCATGTTTGCACAGCCCCCATTTATAAAGCCAAATATAACCAATAACAAAGGGCTTTACCATCTGTTTAGCATATGACACCCTCTTGTTCAACATTAAAACCATTTGAATCATGGTTTTTTCAATATTCTTTGTATTATTTCAATATTTGTGCACATTTGTACGTCTCAATTCCTCCTTCTTAGTATACAGCATATCTGCACCTTCATAAACCAAAGAAGATTCCTCGTATGTCGAAACCTACTTGGCAAAAACCGAAATTCTCATTCAGAAAACCGACATAATTTGTACCAGAATCCAGTGAAAAGCTCCTTTATGAGCATGAGGGCTGAATGCTATTAAGTATAGTGCAATGACTGGGTGAAAACACACACAAGGACACACACACCGTTTCTCTGCAGAGAGTGTGGTCCTGTTTTCTAAGTGAAATAACCTGACCTCCTCTGGCACACACTTACATCAAAGTGTTCTTCCTAAATTACCTTCCATTATCAGTATCAGCCGCTGGACTCCGGTAAAGACTAACATCTGTCTCCTGTCCCTCTTTATCCTCCATTTTTTTGTCTCTTCCTCTTTCCAGCAGTGGCAGAACATACTCTATCACTATGACTCGATATAAGATACTTTACAGACGTTCCTCATCGAGAGTAATTCATCTCTTTGCTTTCATGCTTCTTCTCTAATGTGCACTCCTGTCTCGAGGCAAAACAATGCAGAGTGTAACCTTTAATCATGTTTCTCTCGGGGAAAAGGTCAAAGTGAGAAATATAACATGTGATAGAGGGTATTCGTTTTAGTGAGAGTGTATTAATAAGGACACTCAGCTGAATAAACTCTTACTCTTTGTAAATCTATATTATTTTAGAATTGTTAAAGTAATTTTTGCAGCATTTTCGTCATTTAGTGGTCCAATCTTTGCACCACAAACAGTTTTCATGTGTGCAATCTAAGACATTCAGTTCATAAGGTCCAAAAGCTTATGATTTCACCTGTAATTGCTGAATAAAGCGGCTACCAACCACCATTAGTGCCCACACAGGGGTTTGCATGCAATTAAGTTTTGGTTAAGGCGCAATCTCTGTCTCTATTAAGAAAGTGAACGAGTATAAAAAAAAAAAAATAGAATATTTGGTCTGAATAATAGTGGTTACGAATACCTTCAGAAACTTTGGATACACCAATGTGATAATGTTAATTTAAATTGTGACGTATTGAATTTGTTGAGGACGTTTATTCCAGGCAAAAGAGACAGGCAGTTGCAGAAAACATGCAATTTGGCGGCATTGCTTGGAAAAAGAAATGGATATTTTTCACAATTTTCTGACATCAATGAACCTGGAAAATAATCTTGTATTGATTACGATTGTTTGTGTATTTTAAAGTATGTAAGATATATTGAATTATATATATTTAGTAGAAGTACTTATTTAAATACGATGCCTTAGGCTTTGGGAAATAACGATGGAACATTTTTTCCACATTTCCTACCCCCTTAAGCTTTGGAAAATGTTCAAAACATTTTCTGACAGTTAATAAACCAAATAACTTGTGAATTAATTGATAACAGAATTTAACCGATTTTTCTGTAAGTGTTCTATTTACATTTAATTCAATATAATAATAATATTTAATAATAATTTCAAGACGTTTGCAGTGAAGGAAAAATAACAGCTGTGTCTCCACCTCTTTTTTGCTAATCAAGCGGGACGTGGCTATCATCTGTAAAACATGCCTCTGTGGGGACGTGGCTATCATCTGTAAAACA